TCGAGATTGCTCTGTTGTCAGGCCTTGACATCTAAATTTTCTTGTTGTCATGTCGCCAGCGAAACAAGCCAATTGGCAGGTTGTCTCGCAGTGTGTGGCCTGTTGACACATTATGGCTTGACTCAAATGGAAATTTTAGCTTATTAGGGCTTAAATCTGTGTCACAGGGTGAGAAAAATGTGCAGCCTGACCGGGACTCGAACCTGGGACCCTCAGAATACCATTCCGCAGCTCTACCGACTGAGCTATCCGGCCGCTTACACATCTTCTCCCCTATTAAGTGAACAGTTCTGAACCGTTACATACTCCCCTGCTATATTGTAATTCGTCCTCGAATTTCACATTGTTACAGAGCAATGTGAATTAAACTCTGAGCTATATGCAGACACAGTCACCAGTTGGGCGCCAAATGTCAAAGGGTGAGAAAAATGTGCAGCCTGACCAGGACTCGAACCCGGGACCCTCGGAATACCGTTCCGCGGCTTTACCGACTGAGCTATCCTCGGCGGCACGAAATACCCAAATATACCCAAATACACCCAAATATACCCAAATATTGTATTATTTATTTTTGTTTGTATTAAATATAGATTATAATGAGAAATAAATAAATATTTATAAAATACAATGACTTAGCCTGCTAAAGCTTTCATTCATTCCGTTGAAATGGGCAGTTAAGATGTTGTAAGAAAATAAAGTTGTGACATTTGCTTATGTATTATATAGGATAAGGTTCTTTATGAATGTACTTTCAATTTTAAATCAAGATATGATATTTGTTGTCTACACTTAGATTTTTAAGGTGTGATTTTGTTGAAATTTCATATCATATACAAGTGTCCAATGTTATTTAAAAAATAGCTTTAATGGAGTACATATTATTAATTATACTGTATTTTGGTTCAAAACACAGTGATAGGAAAATGTATATTTGGGTATGTTTGATTGTATCTTAGTGAAAGTGTATATTGTATTCATGATTAAAACAGCACTTTTTTAGTATAAAACCTTTATTTTTTAGTATAATTGGGCAATATTTGGGTATATTTTGGCAATATTTGGGTATATTTGTGCAATATTTGGGTATATTTGGGTGTATTTGGGTATATTTGGGTATTTCGTGCTGCCCGCTATCCTGCCTTTTACACATTTTCTCCCATAATTATAGTGAACAGTTCTGAACCGTGACATCTGCTTTGTTGCTGGCGACAACAACTCGAGCCATGCGATAGCACAATAAGACGCCATTCCCTTGATATAAGCCTAGAGACATGGGGACAACGTGCCACAGTCTGGCACGTTTTGTAGCGCCAAGGAAAAAAGGCGATAAACGACAACGCAACATGCAAAAGTGTAACATATCAGCAACCATACAAATGACTAGAAAGAGGTCAAAATATGCAAAAATTCCTTTTTGCGTAAGTAATACAGTAGAAATATGGTGATAAATACTGAAAAATCATCAATTGTTCACAACTGTTATAAAAAAAATTACTTTAAACTTGAATTTTGACTTTTCTTAAAATCTTAGTACAATGTACATTTTTTAAGCTAATGTCCTTAAAATATTTTGGCTCATCTCGTGTAAAATTAGTCGAAAAAATCAAATGTTTATTAAATAGTTTCCAAAAAGAATATTGATGATACATTGATAATTATCTTAGCTCTATCAAAACAAATACTGTAATACATATAATCATGCTTATTTTTTCCAATCTTTAAAAAAATTCCTAATCAAACTGAAATTTGGAATATCCAAAGCAATTAAGTTAGTTATTAATTAAGTTCATTCCAGTATCATTTATACAGACATATGTGTTTGTGTGTGCATGTGTGTATTGTTTTTTGTTTTTTTTTTGGTTGAGTACAATACATTTTTTCTATAAATTAGGAAGATTTCCCTGTTGAAAAACTTTTCCTAATTTGATCAGCAAAATTTCCAGAATGATGACCTAGGCAATTTGTCTTCTCATCAAAGGTTGATAAAGGGCTTGTTTATTTCTAGCAGCAGGGAAGAATAAACAATGTCATCTTCTGATGAAAATTAAACTGTTTTTTTACTTAGTTCTTTAAGAAAGTTACAAGCTTTATGATCATGAATTCACACACAAGTATATAACATAAAGTTATTTTATCAACCTTATAACTTTCAACTTGTAAAATGTCCCCAAATAGCCTCATTTTTTTCCAAATAAAGGTCTTTTTTCCAAATTAACTAAATTTAGGCATACACACTGACACAATCATCAGAATTTAACTGGACAACAAGATATTTGTTCTCACTTATGAATTATTGAAAAGATTGTTTTACTTTTCTAAGGATAGGAAGCTGCTTTAGGTCTGATTTTATGTGCTCAATATAGTACTGAATGGGAAAAAGGCAATTCTTAACATTAATATTTTCATTCTATATGTACCGGTACTCAAACAGAAATACATTTTGTTTTTACAATTTCATGTCCAATTCTTTTATTATTAATATTTTGAATTAAACTGCTTTGACTTTAAAAATACTTCTTCTTTATATAATGTAAACAATGAAAGTAAATATTTATGATTGAACTCAGATGAATGAAAGCATTATTGAGTATATTTAGCATTATACCTTGTAAATGGCCATGTGGAGATATTATTCAATATCTCATCCCCATTGCTACTCTTGATATTTCTTAGAGGGGAGAGAGGGGGTTAATAAATAAGCAATAAATAGAGGGAGGGAGAGAGAGATTTAGACCAATATTCCATGTTAAATGAGGATGTATTTTATTTATTAAATAATTTATTCAGACTTTCAATGTAGATGAGAATATTTTACAAAATAATAATAACTTAACAATATATAGAATTCTAGAAAACATATTTGGACACTTTTTAATTTTCAACCAGATATAGACTACATGTATGCACTTATTAAAGTATATATAGGCTAACTTATTGTTTATTGGGTAACAGTCATATACTATTCATTACATTATGTACATATATTGAAACCCTGGTTTACCTACTTCAATGACATATAATAAATATAAACATATATAAGCATTTTGTTGTTGACCAACTTGTTTTATTTACTTTATAGAAAAAAAATGGATGAGGGGTGAAGTGTCTTACTGATTTTGGGGGGTGAAGTGTCTTAACGGGTGAAGTGTCTTCAAAATTTGAGGGGTGAAGTGTCTGGGGAGGGGGGGGGGGGTTAAGATGTCTTGCTACCTGACACATAGCCTATTCCTAAAGCTTTGGACTAGTATAATGTTGGCCAGCCTCACTGACAGGTTCCAATCATTCATTTAAGTGTTAAGTATTTTTACTAACAAGATACATGTATAAGTAATACAATTATTATATAAGATGTAAGAATTCCTAAACATAATATTGTAGGGTATTAAACAAAAATAATACAAAATTGAAGTAGAGGTAAATTAAAAATCATTTTTGATTGTTCATGAATTAATTATGGTAAATTTAAGATGACTATTGTTTTCTTTTTCATAATTATTGATCATTTAGTTTTTTCTCTGTTTAGTAAATTTACTGCTGGGAACCAAGTTGATTTTGCATTTCAGTGCTGTGACTAGTGAGAATTATAAAACATGTTGAATGTTTAAAATAAAGGATGTCAGTCATACAGTCACAAGAAAGCAAAGTGATTTTGTTTTCATTAATGTATTTTTCATGTTGTTTTTTTTTTGTTGTTGTTTAGGTTAATAAGCAAGAACTAGACCTTTATTCTATTATTTATTTTGCTATAATATGGTAAACTTTCAGTAAAGGTCTTCTATCATGAAACATAGCTTTGGAAAATGCAACAAGATTTCCCAAAGGTGACTGATATGATATTAAGTTACTGAAACAGAAGTTTCATATATTATATAGAGATCTACAGAGAGTAGTTTGGGGCAAAAATCATTCAAAAATTACATCTGATGTTACACAAAATATTTTGGGTTCGAACGTTTTAGGTACGAATCTGATAGGAAATATATGCGTCAATACTTCTGCATCGAGTGGTTCTTGTATGAAATTATTAACATTCTAACCATTTTCTGTCCCAGTTGACGGATGATTTTGATATTTGCTCATTTGCAGTACATTTTAATTTGTAAACAAAGCCCATAGCAACCATGCGGTCTCACTAATTACCGACAAGAACCGTCAGTAGAAATGGAAAAATACGAATTTATTTCACTACTTCGTCATTTTATAATCACAATTCCTAATATTTTTACATGAAAAACATAATAAATTCGTTCTGAACCATGTTTATAGGCAAATATCTATAGCGACAATATTCGTGGTATAAATTTAAATTTAATTCCCGTGACATCAGTTCCGAGGTCATAAACAAGTTCATCCTACGTAAAAGTTATATTTTGTACATTTGTTTAATGATGATATGTAATTAGTGTGGTGACAATTAACATCTTAATTGAAAATTTGAACCGATTTTAACTCTACTATCAAAATTTTCGATTGTAATAAAAATGGAAGCGTAAACCATGTGTTAATTTTGACATATTCCGCGAAAATAACATAACCGGATATAGAATTAATTGCATGTCGGGATTAGTTTTGGTTAGTTTAACCAGCGGTTAATTTTAACCATTTTGGTTAGTTAACCTTTAGGTTATCTCGGTTTATACAAGTGACTAACCAAATTGGTTAGTTAACCAAAGTTGGTTAAATTTAACCCACGGTTAGCGTTTAACCCAGGGTTAATTTAACCAACGTTTATACAATTGGGTGCAGATAAATACAAACCATTGCGTTTTTATATTTTATTAAAGTTTATATCATTCTATTTCCTCTTTCATCATTTGAAAAAAATGCAAGCATATATAGACTTCCATTTATTATGAGATTTTTGCGATGCATTTCTGTAACTGTTTATTATCACGTTCAAAGCCTTTGTAATGACCGTTTTTGTCACTCCGGTATTTATCATTCATCTGGGCGATGCATTCTGTTGTACAGCGGCAGAATATAAAGATACAGAAGCTTTTAAGTTGTCTAATACTTTTGTGAGCCTGTCAGAAATTGTACTTTTTATGTATTAAATTTCAGACTAAATCAATTCCCTCTTCGTATATAAAGCACACATTAATGGTTTTGCTGCATAGAGTTTCTGACATTCAACAGAATAGCAAACATGAATATTTTAATTTGTTTTATCTTTGGGCACAAATTTATTACCACTGCATATTATTTAGCTATAAGGAGTAATTCATTAAGTAGTATGGGCGTAGGTAACTTACATAATGGGGTTGAAAACAATATATTATCTTGTGCGAGGAAGTGTAAAGAAGATGACACGTGTGATGTACTTATTTACAATGAAAGCGAAAAGTTATGTGGATTGAAGAAGATTCAAAATGTTTCCACTGAAGCTCAAGAAATATCCGGTACTGGGTTTAAGGTATGAGTCACAAACTCCTTAAACATAACAGACTTAACATTGCGTTGCAAGAAAGAGTAAACAATTGAAACAAAATTAATATTGCTTATAAAAGTCATTAATACATAGATCATGAAATAAAGTGTAATTGGTATATCATAACATAAAGAAACAGTAACATAAGCCACATTTCTGTAGAGAGTATACCGTTTAAATTTGAATATTAGATGTTAACCAAAAGTCGTAAAGAACTTAATTTGTAACCATTGTTAAAATTTAAAAAAATGTAATACGTTTATCAATTTTCATATATTACTGAATATGTATTAACTTTATTTATATTTATGTTCTTTGTGCTAAATAAATGATTAAGTTATGATTTGCACTGAATAATAATGAATTTTACCCTCCCGGGTAACCAGGCAGATCAGTAAAAATGTTCAAACTTCTCGTATCTCAAGATATGAGCCGCGTCACGACAAAACCAACATAATGGGTTTGCGACCGGCATGGATCCAGACCAGCCTGCGCATCCGCGCAGTCTGATCAGGATCCATGTTGTTCGCTTACAAACCCTATAACAAGTAGAGAAACAGCATGGATCCTGATCAGACTGTGCGGATGCGCAGGCTAGTCTGGATCCATGCTGGTCGCAAACCCATTATATTATGTTGGTTTTGTTGGTTTTTGCGGCTCAATTATGTTTATAATATTTCAGGTGATAAGCCAGTTACAAAAATCATGCGGTATGTACTAGAAATTATCAACTTTTATTCAAACTACTTCTCATCCAAGTAAAACATGTTATTTTTCTATTGGCTAATTCATTCTGATACTAAAACTACAGTTAATCAAACCATTTCATGGGTATTAAAAATAATTTTGTAAACCAAATTCGTTGTTTTTGACATATCTTTATCATGTTAAAGTATACTTAAGGAGTAAAAAGACGGTTAAAACAATCATCCGATTTCAGTTATATTCTCTGCAACACACTATCAATAACTTCGTGGTGAAAGGTTAAGTCCTTAATTTTCCTTTCAGGGACGTGGCAACACCTTCTTTCGGTCGACAACAATGGACACATTTTATTGGGAAATTTTGAAAACTTAAAGACAGGAGTTTTGAACGGGGCAAAATTAAACGTTATTGCAAAAAGAGAAGGCGATCTAATACTTACCTTTGAGATCAACACTGTACTTAGCAATGATCAAGTGATATGTGCGCAATCAAGGATGTATCTGACCTTCGAGGAAAAATGGACATCGTATTTTATGTGTACCAATGGTCGGGTTTATACGCTAACATTTGTCATGAACAACACAGAAAGTGAATCTATATTGGAATTGAAAGATATAGAGAATATAGATTGGTTTGTGTTAGACAATGTCTGCCAACGAGAAATGTTAAATGAAAATAGTAAGTCGCACATAAGATTTCACGATCAGCACGTACCTTCAATCACTGTTTTACAATTCAATGCTCTTTTTGCGAAAGTAAATTATCAAACATTCCTGGACGTAGCTGAAAACTATATTGAGGTCAATGCCTATGGAGAGATATCATCAACTTGTATAAATGGAGAATTTGAACTTGACAAAGATTTTGCTTGGAAAAGTTCTAAATATTACTTCTCACATGCTGTTAATGAACTGAGATGTTCAATAAATAGACATATACCATGTACATACAGTGAACATAGAGTGCACCAAAATATGTTTATAAATGAAAACTGGGAAGAGGCATTTGTAACAACCCTTTCGGGAGATGTAGAATTCGGGAACTTTGATCATTTAAGGACAAAAATTTTGCAAGGGCATAATGTGAAAATTTATTTTAGTGGCAAATATAGAGAACCAGACATTGTTTTCGTTGACAAAAAAGATGTAATTGCATTGTTTTCAGCATATCCGACAACGACATTTGGCACAAATCAGTCTTCTGTTTATTGGTATTTGGTGTCCTCCTCCGGACGATTCGAACAAGTCGTAATGGATTATCTCACAGGCAATGTCACAAATCACTCCGTGGACTCAATCGCAGTATCATGGTTTACTGACAAGGCAATTTGGACTGATGTCCATCATGCAGACAATAATTCAACGCAAAGATTGAAAGCATCGATCATGGCCGGTTCCTCTATACGTATTAAGTCAAAATGTTTGTATAGCAACGGGAATTATACGATGGTATATTGTCTTTATGCTGCAGTGAACCTTTACTGCAAAAACGACAAACGTGTATCTGCTCGATCAAACTTAATACCATACCCAACACTAAATATGTCTGAAGTACATCTTTCACATCATGAACGTCCAGTGTGGATGCACTTGAGCACGCATTCAGATAAAGTGATGCGGATACGAAAAATGATGTATAGAAGTCCATATTTCGAGGATGACATAATAATAAATCGTGAGGACACGTCATGGTATGCCAACCAGGGATTATACGGGTAATTCTATACTTGTTGACGCATACATATATTGCATTTATATCGGATATATAAACGCCTTGTATGAAAACACAAGAAGACAATGTTCACAGTGATAACAGTATTAGAAAATAAAGACAAATTTCCTGAAAACTCAAAACGATTTAATATTTGTCTGTCATTCGTAATTTCCATTTTATTTCAATGGATTTTCCACTATTTTTTAAACTATTTATTGTTGCTGTTGTTGTTGTTGTTGTTGTTATTGTTCTGAAATGCAGGTTTAAAAGGTAATTCGTGTTACAAAGGACATTTTTGGAACATGAACTACCGGTATAATATATTACTGCATATTGATTGTTGACATAAATTAAGAAATAATTGTGTCGCTTTATGCTTCAAATGTGTATATTAATCGTATATCTATGTAATTATTTATTCTATGGTGTTTTGATTTGTGTTCTGTTTATTATCCCTTTACAAGAAGATAAGATTGTCTTTCCATTTGTGAAAAATGTAAATAAAAATTTTTTTGCAACAAAGCAAGAAATCTTATTTTGGTCCTGAAGTGTAAAGCTGATGAATGTAATGCTTTTTATATACTTTTGTTTTTATTGAGGACTCGCAGAGTATATCGTGTCATTCCGCAGTAAATCACCCGTCTTATTCAAAGTATGTTTTGCAGCCGAATAAAACATCGGATCCTGGGAGCCAACTTAATATTAAAGGATATTTATTGTGCTAGAACGATAATTGTTCAACATAACATGCTAACCCTGGGATAGTAGTACGTTTAGTTTGGTAAAAGATATTGGAGTACTGATATTATCATTTATACTTTGTTCAATCTTTTTTATAGTTATTTTTTCTGTCCTAATATGTTCGCCTCTCCGTTAGGATGGTGACATAGGCGAAAATTGTCCACGGCTAAAAATATCTCAAATTATTGAGAGATATTGAGAGTGTTGAGAATCTGTCAGCTGAGAGCAAACTTTATTGGTCATTAATAATGTTTTGTTCTGTTTTAAGTGTATTTTATGCTTCATACTCTCATTAATTTCATTAAAATTATTTATAAAAAAAAACATCAGCACAGTAAATATTTAAGTTCTAAAAACAATGAACGGCATTTCCCAAAAGCAAATTGGTTCTTATACAAATGTAGTTTGTTTACCAGTCTCACATAATTCTGTATTGAAATGTATATGTACTGTTATCAGTTTTATTCATTATGATAGTGATGTATATTTGATTAAGTAAAACTATTAAGTAATTAATTAATTAGTAAACTATTTGAGTTACTTGAACTTGAACTTGTACTATTTTAGATATGATAAAGTAAATAAACTATTTGAGTTACTTGAAATTGAACTTGTACTATTTTAGATACTAGTATTTGATTAATCAGAATCAAGACGGCTGATAGATTATTTACTCTTTTAAATATCAGCCAAAAACATACCGTTTGCATTTATTCAACACTGTCGACCTAAACTAGCTTTTTATTGTCTTACATCAGCATTATATCATTCTATAAATGAGCCGCGTCATGAGAAAACCAACATAATGGGGTTTCGACCAGCATGGATAGAGACCAGCCCGCGCATCCGCGCAGTCTGATCAGGATCCATGCTGTTCGCTTACCAATCCTATAACAAGTAGAGAAACTGATAGAGATGCGCAGGCTGGTCTGGATGCATGCTGGTCGGAAACCCATTATGTTGGTTTTGTCATAACGCGGCTCAAATGACAATTCATGCGACAGATATGAATTGATTGTTGCTAATTGAAGCACATTGAATAATAGGTTTGTAAGAGCGATAGTATAATTTTGGATATTTTCAAAGCCTTTTAAAGAACAAAAACTGACTAAAGTATTAATACAAAAACAAGGCTGTATTTACCATTAACGAAACTTTTTTTACATCGAAAGTCTCCATTGCTCGGAATATTTATTTTACTACGCACAAATTCTAAAACACAAAGACCATCTGTTTACTTTTTTAAATACTTTGTTCCACTTTTAAATTAAAAAACTGTCATTTCCGAATTATAACATGGCATAATACGGCTGTTCTAAATAGAGCACTCTTCAAACATTCAAATGTATTCAACATTTTGAGTAGCGTTACTGTTACTGTATTTGGGATACAGGAATTTGAGGAATGGTAACATTTACTACCGGTAAAATGTTTCCTGTTTCCATGAGGTCCCCATTTATAGAAGTGTAAATTTGAGAAACCATTGAATATTTAGATTTAAAGAATTCAAAGAATAGAACTGCTGGAAATACATATAAGTAGATCAAACACAAATTTAATGTTAATGACATCAAAAAAAAAAAAAAAAGATTCACAATTCCACAGGCTATATGATTATTATTCAAGCAATTGCAAGACGATAGCGATTTTCTTCCTTGTTCGTATACTTTTTAAATTTACTCTTTATCCTAAGAAGACTGATCGAGCAAGGCTGTACCTATTCAGATATAATACATACTAAACTCATTTCAAATCTATTGAAAATAAAATATTATCGGGGACATCACATGTGTATGAACTTTAAATTATTGTGAATTATCAGTACAGTTTAAACAGTTTTTTAATCACCGTGTATGTAATTTGTAGGGCTGAAAATCAAGAGATACACCTTATACATTTTTGCAATTTATCAGAACGCGTTAAAACAGTAGTTAGCTATATCGTATGCTTCTGTCAGTCAACAAAACTGGCGGGAAAATATCGGGCACATTTGATCATTACAAAATCTCATTCCGATCCACATCTACTAGTGCAGCGGTTTACAGTTCACTGGTATGTACCAACGTCAATTTGGAATGGCCAAGCAAAGTTTTGATAAAAAGTACTTGATCATATTTGTCATAGCATTTGTGTACAAATGAAAGTGTTTATAAGGTAAGAGTGTCAGTAAACCTTATAGCCGTGTCATAACAAAACCAACATAATGGGTTTGCGACCAGCATGGATCCAGACCAGCCTGCGCATCCGCGCAGTCTGATCAGGATCCATGCTGTTCGCTATCAGTTTCTCTACTTGTAATAGGGTTTGTAAGCGAACGGCATGGATCCTGATCAGACTGCGCGGATGCGCAGGCTGGTGTGGATCCATGCTGGTCGCAAACCCATTATGTTGGTTTTGTCATGACATGGCTCATTTATAAAGCAAGAGTATGATTGTTCAGACTGTTACAAATTACGCATGTCAGCTAATGGCAATAACCAAGTGATGGGGTTAGCCAAGAATGTGCTACAAAAGCATGACAATTTTACTACTCCTACACGGATATGTCAAAAAGAAAACGGACAAATTGTAAAGATATCTCATGGAGTAATATCATATTTTACTGGTAAATGTATTATTTTAAAACAAATTCATTTTGGGTTAGTTCCTCGCATTTCTGTTAATGTGCCGTTATAGAAATGAACTATTGTTAATGTGCCGTTAAAGAAATAATGAGTGTATAAACAAAAGAACAAACTATGTACAAAAAGGTACTTTCAAAACTAGTTTCGAAGTCTTAAAAACTTCACATAAGATTAATTTTAGATGGCAAAAGACCCTTATTTATTTCCGTGACCAATTTACGGAGCAAACAATATCTTTGTCGAAATACCCAGTCAATTAAATTCAAACCAGACATGTAGGGTCATTATTTCTACATCGCAAAGATATGAAAACATTATATTTTGATTATTTAATTTGAAATATACTGCTGTAAGTGAAACACATGGTCGTAGTTTGTCGACAAAGCGGTTTTCACCATAGTTCATAAAGCAGTGGTAACCTTTGGATATTTCGTACGCAGCAAATCATCTTGCTTCCATCTTCCACTTCCATAACATTTTCATGTTTCTATGGTGAAAATACTCATTAGCAGTTAATGTTAGCAGGCTAAGGCAAAATATGCCGGATTTATGTTAAATCCAAATGGAACAGTAAATATCACCGAACAACATTTAACATTTTGTTTGTTAGTTTAATTGGGTTTTACGTCACATCGACAACATTTAACATAAGTGACAAGCTATTGTGGATAGTTTTACGCTAGTTTTCCAGGTTTTTGTTTGGTGCCTTCTAGGTGCCCTACTTGGGTATATCGGGGGCTGCGTCCTGTGAACGTTGCCTTTGTTTTGTTGATCTTTATGCTTGTTTATGTACACAGTATAATGGATTTCACGGAAATATTCAAATGCTAAGTTGACGACACTTCATTGTGGACAATTCTTGGTTTGCTTGTTATAAAGGACATAGGTAGAATTGAGTTTGCGTTTTAGATATATCACCTGATAAATTTAAATTTGTATACACAATACACAGTATGAATTGAATAGTGGTTTGTATGGTGCTCTATGATTCTCTTTTATCATGCCATTACTATGACAACTGGCTGATAAAGCCTGTCTGAGAACAGCAACCTTTCTCAGTCAGTGACTTGAGAACACTATGTTCCTACGCCAGATCAGCACTGATGATGTTTATTGTTGGTATTGTTTAATTGACTTTGCTGAATATTTATGATAATACATAGTAACACAGTTAATAAATTGTTAAAGCAAATTGTACCAAAAATTGTGTTGTGTTATAGAATTATTGGTAAAAACCCTCGGACTACTTTTTTGGCGTATAAGCCTCTTGTGGTTACCGTACTTTCAGAAATTAGCGCCCCGAATTAAAAAAAAAATAAGATGCAAAATCATAATAGAGGCAAGCCTCGCCCCTTCCAGGACCATATCTAACCTCGTCTGGGAAACCCTTTCTCAAAAGACAGTAACCTGTTATTCTCTATTTCCCTTCCATTTGTATATCATGATCCGAGGTTTTACCTTGTATAATTTGTTTTAGGAATATGTGGGTAAAATTATGATTTGTGATAACGCTATCGTTTTCGGTTTGGGTATTGTATTTTTGTATTGTTTACACATTTATTTTTTTTGTTGCCTATAAATCATTTTTCTCATTAAATGTTTGTCGTGCTACCGACGGTTCAAATGCTATCTTTTTACAT